TCTCTCTCTCTCTCTCTCTCTCTCTCTCTCTCTCTCTCTCTCTCTCTCTCTCTCTCTCTCTCTTGCCGTAGCGATGTCTTCACCGCAGGTACGCGTGATGAACCAATCTTGTACCGCTCGTCTCTCTCTCTCTCTCTCTCTTCTCTTCTTCTTCGTCGTTGTCTTCTTTGCAGGTGCGCGCGGCGGCTTTTTCACCATGTGGATCCGCTATGGCGGACTTCCTCTCCGACGGCGCCTTCGGATATGGCGCGCAACTCTCCCTGCAACACACGACGATGGCGCGTGGAATAACGGGTACCAGCTCTGATACCAATGCAATCAGACTCGCTTCCGTTCACACTCCACATGCATGTAAAAAGGTTGCGCAGCAAAACTGGCGACAAGCGCCCACACAAAACTCAGAGATATAGTAACCAAGAACACAGTTCAAATACGAGCTCACCTCAGATGGCTATGGCACATCAGCGCCTGTACAACTCCCTGTTCGTCACTCACCCAACTCTCTGTTCACACACAGGATCACCCTGGATATCCCACACGCATCACACTGTACACACACGCACACACACACGCTACACTCTTCTATCAGCTATGGCGGCTATGGCCGCTACTACCCCTATCGCTATGGCTAAACTCTCCTTCTCGCCCACTTCGACTTCGGGCTCACTGCAGACCACCTCGCAGAAGTCGCTATGGCAGCGCTTCCGCATGGCTCACGCAGGAATGAATGAATGGCTTGGCGCTGCCTCTTGATTTATACTTCTGTATCCCGTTGGTCTGCCCCTTTCCCATGCCCTTGGTGCACAGAGTCCCACACGGTACTTGCTTGACTGGACTGTGACTGACTGGGACCGGTACCGCTGACTGCATGGGGTTGCACTGCCAACTCGATGCAGTCGCACTACCGACGTACCGCAGTTGGGCTCACCACTTGCCCACTTGCCTCGGTGTAAACGTGAGCAACTTCGAAAGGCCACTACTGGGACCTTCCAGAAGGCTGGAAACTTGGCCTTTCGAACACTGTAGCAGCTACGACCTTGACCCTTCAGGACTGTAGCAGCTACGACCTTGACCCTTTGGAGGAGCTATAGCTACGACTTCTAGAACTTGCTACGACTCCTATCTGACAGGTCTACAGATCGAACCCCTATACCCTACAGACCTACGACAACCTACCACTGTGGGGAAAGACACAGGTCGTGGGTTCAACTCTCGGGGTGTACACAGATACTGTACACAGTTAAGGTGATGGTCTAGGGATCGAGCCCTGCGACTTGCATCCGCTACTGTGAACAGGTGAATATCGTTTCACTCACTTCATGTTAGTTTTTTTCTGACCTTTTCTGACCTGTTCTGACTAACATGTTAGTTTTTTTCTGACCTTTTGCGACTCACTTCATTTTAGTTCT